TCATTTAACAAGTTAACCTCTCAATCCAATAAAACAATATCAAGTATAATTCGGCTCCAAGTATTAACACGCACGAATTATGCTGAGGTCGTACGGCCGATCCAAAATATAAACATATATATTGTGCACTGACGAGTGTCGAACAGCATGAACCATAGATGCATCTATTCTACTGCCAAGGCGTTCGGCCCGCTCCTCAAGAAGAGAAAATACTTTATAAACACCTGATTCAAAGATTATTAAGAGGCTAATATTCAAAGAAGCACCAATTCTTATTAACGGTCAAGTAACCCATCTAAAACTCAAGTAGATAAAATTCGACCTTTTACAATTCCTTTATCAAGTTCCAATATGATTTAAGCACTTAAATTAACAAGTAGGGTGCAAACATCGCAAGTATAATATGATTTGGGTCCTAAACTACCCGTACATAAGCATAATTAGTAGCTACGCACGGACTCTCGTCACCTCGTGCGTACGTATCCCCCCCTCCCCACACACACACACACACATAGAAATAATATTAATTCAATTCACCTATGGGATTAATTCTCTCTTATAAGGTTAGAAAAGAGACTTACCTCGTCTCAAAGCTTACTTTCCGGTCCACAATTATGCTTTAACCCCTCAACTCGGTGTCAAACGACTCGAAACTAGTCAAATATTATATAAAATAGTCAGTACATGTTCAACAGTTTATATCCTAACTATTATTCCCAACCCTAATTGAAAAATTCCTAAAATTCACCCCTGGAAATTTTTGAAGAAAGTTGTTACCCATAACCCCACGCACTCTAATATATAATTTTCACTAAATTCCATAATCATTTTCGTGGTTAAATCCCATTTTTATCAAAAACCTAGGTTTTCATCTAAACCCATGATTTCACCAATTTTACATGTTAAATCTACCCATAATCTATGTATTTAACTCACATTGTATAGAAATTACTTACCTCAAAGTGTTAGGTGAAAAGCTCTCTCTAAGAGCTCCAAATATCGCCCAACAAATGAAATAAATGAGCTTAAAATGCCTAAGTCCCGAATTAAATGAAGTGATCTGCCTTCTGCGATTTCCGCACCTGCGGTGCCTCTAACGCATTTGCGGTACCGTACCTGCGGTGCTAGGTCCGCTTCTGCAGAGTTCCTCAAGCCCAGCGAGGGCTGCTTCTGCGGATGGGATTTCCTCTTCTGCGGTCCCAACCCACGCATCTGCAGGCTCGCACATCTAGCCCAAAGCTCGCAGGTGCGGGCATACTAAAACTGGTGCACCAGCAGCCCTTTTTGAGTCTTAACTCATTCGCGCATTGAATCAACTTAGGAACTACAAGTTCTTTAAACTTATTCCGAACGCGCTGAAATATACTTAAACTACTCTGAATGACACCAAATTTTACGTGCAAGCATTCCCAGGCTCGGGATCCCAATTGGACCTCGATAACACCAAAACCTGCTCCAAACCAAATTTAAAAAACTTTAAAACTTTCAAATAGACAACTTTCACTATTAGGCGCTGAAACGCTTCCGGGTCATCTAAAACCAGATCCGAACATATGCCTAAGTCCGAAATCATCATACGAACCTATTGGAATGGTAAAATCCCGATTCCGAGGTTGTTTACTCAAAACGTTGATCAGAGTCAAACTTAGCCCTTTTTCCAACCTTAAGGAACCAAGTGTTCTGATTTTAACCCGAACCCTTCCAAATCCCGAGCTAACGATCCCCGCAAGTCATAAAACAATAAAAGCACATATGGGGATTCTTATTTAGGGAAACGAGATTCTAGAAAGTAAAATGACCGATCGGATCGTTACAGTAACAAGACTTCTAGGAATGATGGATCTCACTGTTGGAGGAGCAGAGTGCTCGGCCTTGTTCTTGTTCTTTGAAGAACTGGTACGTTTTGAGGAATTAGCCATTGTACGGGAAGAAGGAAAAGGTTTTTGCTTGAAGAGAATTATGGAAAAGATGAAGAGCATGATGGAAATCGAATAAGGGAAGCTTGGAAAATTATGGAGTATAAGGGAGAAAGTTGATGTGTATAAGCAAAAGTTTTGGCGGCTAAATTCATGGCCATGATTACCTCGATAATCGGCAAAAGCTATACTGAATCGTGGGATAACGCGTATTCGGGGCATTAAATTCGGAGAGACGTGCGTGTAATCAACCTTCAGAAGCCTTCAGAGGGAGTTATAGTAATTCCCGCCAAAAGAATGTTTCTACCAACTTTCTGGTAATACAAAGTTATGTCACCGGAAAGCACTGGGACTATCTGTATAGGGTAAAATATGCTATGCCACGTGGCCGTCCAAAAAAAAGGACACGTGGAACCTATGATTGGGGGGGGGGATGTCCATGACCGAAGGCAACTGTTCTGTCTGTCATCGGGAAGAATAACGCTCATAAGGATGTAATAAACACTCATCGCCTGGTAGCATTTAACAGGGAATATTTCATGGCATTAAGTATGATTGCCCGTTACAGGAAATTTATGATTTATGTTTACCGTTATATCTTCATCAATGACCCTCATAATTGACGTTAAAAAGGGGCACGATCCTAGGACCTCCTTCCCTAGACGTAGCTACAAATAGTGAGCTCAGCTATCATTGTAAAGGACATAAATTTTTTGACAAACTTATACTATACTCTATCGAAAGCTTAATACAATTTTATCCTCTTGCTTTTCTATTTCGTTATTGTTGTGTCCAGAACCACTGTGTTTCTGCTATTTCGTCTCCGTCGCAAGGCTAAGTATTGCATATTTCTTCAATTATCTTATTATTTCAGGATCAAATTAATTCACTTGTCTAGAAACCACGTATAAATTCAACTGTACCGTTTTACGGGTAAACATGTTTAAATACGTAAGAAAATTTTTGTAAAGATTTGGAGTTGACACTAAGGAAAGATTTAAATTATGGAAGAGCACAAGCATTCTTTTACAGGAACTCGAATTTGCCTTTGACTTGGACAGTATTATGTTTAAAGATTTAATAATTGCTTTAAGATTTAGAAACTCTTATTCTGGACTCCCTTTTCTGGTATTTTTAGTTTGACAATATTAATAGTTAGATATTTTTGGTGCAATTGCTGAAGTCTTAGCCTTCAATTCTAACTCCTTTATTGCTTCCTACTTTTGCTTTTGTTTTTTCATCTCTTTTTATGTTCTTAACTCGATATTATCTAACCCTTATGCTTTCTTTTCCTTCATCTCTTCCAATTTTAGGTTGCAGGGTCTAGGTTTTAGAAGCTTAATTTCGGATCCTTCAAAGCTAATAGTACAGAGTATATGTAGGTAAATGATTATCTTCTTATGTTCCTCTCGATGTGTTTTAGCGATTATGAGCCTATTTTTTAATTTATTTACAAAGTATCTTGCTCTTCGTTCTTACACACACAAACACATAATTTATATGTAAATAAAGACAAATAATAATTGGTTTGTTGGATTTATCTCACGCGGTAAATATAATATATATATATATATATATNCAAGGGTCTATATAGTACGCAGTCTTACCATGCCTTTCTGCAAGAGGTTGTTTTCACGGCTTGAACTCGTGACCTCCTGGTCACATGGCAAGAACTTTACCAGTTACTCAGTAAATATGTGATCTTTAATGTGTGGAATTATGACTCTCGATCATCTAGAACTCTCGAATATTTCTTGCTTAAACAAATCATTAAGGAGGAGAAAAATAAAAATTAATCAAGCTTTCAATCGAGCTAGGCTACCTATTTAGAATAAGTAATCTTTTTTAGATAGTTGTACAGTATATTTCAAAATTCATTGAATTTCATGATTTTCGAGCCATATTCTGATGTGAGCTTTTTTACAATCATTCATTATGAGTTAGCAAGATAAGATTAATATTCATCATAAATTTTTCTAAGTTTTATTTTTCTAATTCAAATATATTATATTTTTAATGTGGGATACACGCGCATATAAGACTAGTTACATAAAATGAGACGAAAGAAGTAATAAATTTTAAAGTCGACATTCTAAACGAAGAGCGGAAGAGGATCCTTATTGATAGAGAGATGAAGAAAGCAGGGGTTTTAATTATTTGACTTTCTTGGCAAAATTTAAAAACAAAGATTTAATTATTTGACTTTCTTGTACAAAAATGTGCAGTAAGACATTAGGGTTTAACATAATTACAAATAACATTTTAAAAGATGGAATTAAGACTCGTGCTGATGTCAAGTCGATCCTATATACTTACGGCGGGGAAACTATAATCTCATTAGACTAAGACCCTAATAGGTGGACAAGCGTCGTGTATTGCACATATGACCAGGATGAATTATATGAGTTGGTTTGCTCAATGTGAATAGGATACTAGGTGCAGATTGAATTTGAGATGTGACATTCACATTTTCTTTTGATTGCCCTATGCCCAAACTTCTCAACTTATAGAGAAAGAAGTTTCTTAATTTAAAGTGCAAAAAAAGAAACTTGGAAAAACTGATGAAAAGTTAACAAAGCCATTTCTGATTATATTTTGTAAATCCTTAAAGGACATTATTTTGTGGCTGAAATATGATTCATTTACAATCCTGTCTCACACAATAGGCATATGGCCTTATAGATATTTTAAGGGAAAGGAAATTAATTAAACAAATAGATATGACACTCGAAATTGGTCAAGAAAGTCAAATAATTAAAAACCTTGCTTTTAAATTAGCCAAGAAAGTAAAATAATTAATATCCTTGATTTCTTCATCTCGCTATCAATAAAGATCAACTTCGGCTCTTCGTTTGCCAACAAAATAGTCTCCTTAACTAGGGGCAGAGCTAGAGGATGCATGGACTATTTTGCCGAGAAATTATACTATATATACAAGGTCAAAAATATATAATTAGTAATCAATTCAACCTGGACACGCCACTGAAATTCAAAGGGGGTCCACGACTTAAAATTTTACAGCTAACTAAAACCTATATAAAGACTACAAGTTCTGAATACTTTCTCACCACTTTCTTTTCACAACTATTGCTATTCCGAAGAGAAGAAAATATGGGTGTGAAGGGCAAGTTGATTGCTTCATTAGAGGTGAAGAGTGGAGGACACTCTGTTCAGGATATTTTTCACGTTAATACCCATCATATACCCAACATAAGCCCTAGTAAGATCAACCATTTTGAGATTCATGAAGGTCAAATTATAAAGGTTGGTTCGATCGTTAGCTGGAAATACAACGAGGGTAACACACATTTCTCCTCTCTCTTTATATGCATCATTTTTTTATATTTAGGTGTATTTGATTTTGATGATGTTTGATTACCATAAATATATTCTGAGTAAGACATTTTGCATTAAAAAAAAAAGAAGAAAAATAGCTTCTTTAGGCAGAAGTCATTTCCCTTAGGGCAAAATATTACAACTATTTTAACTTTTAACTTTTTTCTACTTGCTCCAATTAACCTTTAGACGTTACTATTAGGATTTAGCACTCAAAATTTTATCAAATTAAATGACCTATAAATTTTTAATATTATTATTATTATTATCTTTAATGTATGCTTTCCGTAATATATCTTTCACTCACCAATCAAATATTAGAAAATATTTTCCAAATATTGTGCAGAACAAAACTTTTTTCATGAAAAATTGCTTCAGTCATACCAAACACATTATAATCAAATCTATAATTTTTTCGTGAATGTTTATATCTTTTATGAGGAATTGCACTATTGAACTAGGAGTAACATCTCTTGTATTTTTGAATTTTAATGATTATAGATGGAAAAGAAAAGATTGTTAAGGAAGTGATTGAAGCCTTCGATCCTCGGAAGAAATCAATCACTTGGAAAGTAATTGAAGGAGATTTGTTAGAGTTGTATAATTACTTCACTATTATCACATCCAGTGAAGATCAGTGGACTACATGGACATTAGTGTACGAGAAGAAAACTGAAGACACCCCTGAGCCTCTTGATTTCATGGGTGTAGTCCTTGATTTGACCAAAGATATAGATGCCCACCTTCTCAAGAAATAAAAGATCTATATATATATATATATATATATATATATGCGCGCGCACTCGTATATGTGTTTAATATTTGACAGTATTGGCTAGTTTTAGCCACCGTGTGAAATAAATAATGTCGTGTTTGGAGTTATGAATGTATTTTCAGTGGTCAGCTATGTAAGATATAATGAATTTTCCAAGTTTAATATTTTACCTGTAAGATTTAAACTGTGGAAGAGCACAAGCATTCTTTTACAGGAACTCGTATTTCTCTTTGACTTGGACATTATTATGTTTAAAGATTTCATAATTGCTTTAAGACTTAGAAACTCTTATTCTGGACTCCCTTTTCTGGCATTTTTAGTTTGACAATATTAATAGTTAGATATTTTTGGTACAATTGCTGAAGTCTTAGCCATTAATTCAAACTCCTTTATTGCTTCCTACTTTTGCTTCTGTTTTTTCATCTCTTTTTACGTTCTTAACTCGATATTGTCTAATTTTGGATCCTTCAAAGCTAATAGTACAAAGTATATTTAGGTAAATGATTATCTTCTTATGTTTCTCTCAATGTGTTTTACTCTTATGAGCCTATTTTTTTTATTTGTTTACAAAGTGTCTTGCCCTTCGTTATTACACACGCAAACACATAATCTATATATATAATTGAGGGACATAGGAGAAGTGATGTGGCCAGAGGCGGATCTAGGATTTAATGGTTACGGGTGCCACTCAGGGGCGAATGCACATTTATCGAAGCAGTGTCAGGCGACACCGCTTCGTGAATTCTTTTGCTAAATATATGTATTAATACTGCGAGGAAGCGGATAAGTAGGAAAAAATGACATCACTTGACATATGTTGTCTCTTGGTATATTGGTTATGTGCTCGATTTTGCTCTAAGAGGTCAGGTTCAAACCTCAACTAGCATCTCTTTTTTACTTTTTGCAAATATTTGAGACAATCTATGCGGTTAAAAATTGTAAATAAAGTAGAATTTAATTCAGGACTTTTCTGACTTAAGACTCAACAAAATCAATAGACTAAAGTTATTTCTTGTCTAGAAGTATGATAATTAAAGTTATTATTCCCGTTCTTTTATAAATTTTGACATCGCTTATAAGAAATCGGTGAATGTCCCTGGTGCCACTGCTTTTAATGCAAACCGGCGATAGTGAAAAGATTGAACTTGGGTGTACATTAAGTCGGTTCGATCCATTTTTGATTAATTCGGTTTGATTCCGTCCATTTTGAATTAATTCAATTCAATTTAAAAGATTGTTTTATGCATAAATGAATATGTGATCACAAAATCGAATAAGTTCTATCCAATTCGCTCTAATTCTCTAGGTTCAAATTTGATTAATATGATTAAAAAATATAAAGAAAAATAAAATTTTAAATTAGGAAATACATCACTTCAATCTACGTACAGCTCGATTAATATTATATCTTTGATGCATCACTCTAGTTTACAACAACAACCTAGTATAATCCCACTAGAGGGGTCTAAGGTAGTGTGTACGCAGACCTTACCATCACTCTAGTTTCTAAAATTAATAAAATAACATTAGATGGATAAAAAGAGAAAATGATTAAAATCACATTCAAATAAAATGAAGATCTAGAAAAAGAAAAAGGAAGCAAATATACAATTTAAATAAATAATAAAAAGGAGATTGTACAAAATAGAGTAAATAACAGAGGTGAAGAAATTAAAAGAATTTAAAAGAAGCATAAAAGAAAGAAGATAACAGCAAAACAACTAGGACTTCAACAGGGTCTCGATTTTGGGTATTTCAGGTGGAATTTCAATGCTTTAACCATGGCACCTACATTCATTTTGTTACTTAGGGTGCCACTCTTTATATATGTTCAATAATGTGAGGAAAATACTAGTACATATGTACGATTTTACTCGAGCGATCGGGTGGCGTACCACCCCCAAGCCCCTACATAGATCCGCCCCTGGATGTGGCACTCTCCTATGCAGGATTTCAATTTATCTTTTTTTCCCCATTTTTAAACCTTTTTTTATTATTTGCCTCTAATCCAACCCAACAAATAAGTCTCGAGAAAAACCGTTACCTGGAAGCCCAAAAGCCAAAGTTTCTAGCGTTTCATTAACGGGTATTTTGCAAAGCCGAAAAGTCTCTTACGGTTTGATTAAACTGCTGCTCTAAGAACAATATTAGAGTATTGTCTTCCGCACAAGATCTCTCCACTTTTATTTTATTTTTCTTCCTTCCATCGCTTTGATTGTCTTTTTCCTTATTTCTACCTTTAATTCTTATTGTTCTTTCAAGGCACTTGACGAAATATTTCTAACGTTTTTATCAGGAATTGGCATTATTCTTGAAATACACTTTTTGCTCTCCTTAAGCCTAACCAATATCAAAAGTTTTTCTTTCTTATTTTATGTGTTTCATTTTTCTCCAATTTCTTAGAACTCATACAGAAAGGGACATATTGCCATTTAGAAAAAACCATGAAGAGGTGACGGATTCATAAGTTTATGTTTATGCATATTTTACTAATGTTTTTCTATCACTGAAATTTTCCATTTGTCTTCTTTTTGTTATCTTTTTTTATTTTTTTGCCACCATTTCTCTTCTAGATGTTCTTTTTTTTCCTCTGCAATATTGTTTCTTCTTTTTCCCCTTTAACGTTCAATATTTATTACATTTTATCTTATAATTATTAGGTGTAATGTTGCGTGATATGTTTCTGATTTCTAACTATTTTTTCTAATTAATCTGTTTGTTCTTTTCATGTTCTTACTTGTAGCTTTATATTTTAGATATTAACTTCCGAAGTTTAGCATTTTAACCTCTTGAAATAGTAAATGAAATGTTAGGTGCTGATTTTGAATTAAAGCACAGTGCCTGGGACGGATAAAGGTTCCATGTTCAATATTTTTCAGTCAAGAGTCCATTATCGTTGTTTTTTCCTGAAACCAATTTTCCATTATGGCTAGAAGGTCTCTAAGTATAAAAGTTACATTATATTCAAACTTTTCTCTCTGAAACCCCTACACATTATTAATGTAAGTTATTATACATTCTTTCCACATTTTTTCGACCCCCATTAAAAAATAAAACTCTGGGGTCAATATGATCAGATTTCGAGTTTGGCGGCATATTTCAAGACCACTGGTAGGTATGCTTTTGCCATCACTTTCTCATAAAACATTTAAAGCTACATTATTCTGAATTTGAAAATATTACAAGCATGATCAGTACCTAATTTTCATCTTAACGGTTGAGACAATTCTATGTCATTTTAGCCATTCTTAAGAGATTTGCGTAGTATGGTATTTACCAAATAAAAAAGAAATAGGTATATTTAACTGGGAGACCATCTGTTGGTGCTTATCCTTAAGATAATTTTGCCCCTAAATAATGGGTTCGCTTATGTATGTGTCCAATTGATTTCTAATCTTTTCCTTGACAACGTTTCACTGTCGTGGCAGGCTGAACGTTCTTCCTTTTTGTGAACTTTGTAGTAAGTGATTTCTATTAATCGATACAAAAATAAATGCGATAGAGCTTATTCATCACAAGAATGTGTTTTACATTTATGTCTTGCATGATAAAATTGCAGATCTTGGCAACACGAAATAAAAAGGGAGGCTTCAGCAAGTATGATACCAATAGAAGGTCCCTGAGAATTTGGAAATCTAACACAAATATTGATTAGATGGGCTACTTCAAAGTTCGTATTTAACCTGGAAATGTTTCTCATACTTCTTTTTAATTAAAAGATGTTAGAGGAAGCATAAAAAGTGCTTAAATCATGAAATGATGTTTGATTTGTAAAGATAAATTCTCTTTTATAAAAATATGATCCTAAAATTCAGCTATTATATATTTTTTATCTTTTCATGATTGCGCAAAGCGCATGCAAATACACTAGTTTATATATAAATAAAGACTAAGAGTAATTGGTTTGTTGGATTTATCTCACACAGTAAATATGTGATCTTTAGAGCCTGTTTGGAAAGCCACCTTGAAAATGAATTTGAGTGTAATTGGGTGTAATTACACAGTTTGTCATATTTGTTTGGCCAAGTAATTACTTGATTAGCATTGAGTTAGGTGTAATTTGGGGAGGGGGGAAGGGGGGGTGTAATTACACTCTCCAATTCTCAAGGGGGAGGTGAGAATTGGTGGTAATTATACTGTGTAATTGGAAGGTTGCTTTTTAGTTTCTTTCCTTTTTATTTTTATTTGTAATTTATTTTCTTTATAACTTTTTATTTCTATTATTTTTAATTTTTAATTTTATTTTTACTTTTTAATTTCTTTTAAAATTTTAAAATATATTTTTCTTTGTACATTATTTATCTTTTATTTCTCTATCTTTACTTCTTGTGATTCCATGAAATTTTTTATTTATTTTATTATTTTATTTTTTGAAACTGCGCCTCCTAATATTAGAAATAATGAGTCATTAACAATCTTGGCATCTAATAAGTGATGTAATTAAAGTAAAATTTTTTTGTTGAATGTGGTTATAAACTTATCATGTTTTCTAATCTTAAGTTGCAGTGGAACTTACTACTATTATGTTGGAATTTGACATATGTTAAACTATTTTTTTGTAACGACCCGACTGGTCGTTTTGAACACCTAAAATTCACTCGGTAGTTTGAGGGCTCAAGTATCTCTGCATGATGTATGATGACTTTCGTAAATCGTCAGTGTTGGTTTTCGAGTTATCCGGAATCGGTTTGGAAGAATTAACATCAAGATTTAAGCTCTAAGTTGAAAGGGTTGGCCAAGTTTGACCTTTTAGTAGTGAATCTCGAAATGGAGTTTCGTTAGTTCCGTTAGTTCCGTTAGCTCCGTAGGTGATTTTGGACTTAGGAGCGCGTCCGAATTATTACTTGGAGGTCTATAGTCAAATTAATCTTGAAATGGCGAAAGTTAAATTTTTGGGAAGTTTGACAGGAAGTTGATTTTTTGATATTGTTGTCGGATTCCGATTCCGGAAGTTGGAGTAGGTCCGTAATGTGAAATGGGACGTGTGTGCAAAATTTGAGGTCAATTGGACGTGTTTTGATAGGTTTCGGCATCGGTTGTAGAAGTTGAAATTTCAAAGTTCATTGATTTTTACTTGAGGTGCGATTTATCGTTTCAAGGTTGTTATGCATGAGTTGAAGCCTCGAGTAGGTTCGTTTCGTCATATAGAACTTGTCTGCAAAATCTGGTGCCATTTGGAGTTGATTTGATATGGTTCAGACGTTTGGTTGCGATTCT